TGTGTTTAAGGGCCGTTTAGATGCAGTGCTGAGGGATATGGTGTAGGGGAGGACTTTGTAGAGTAGGGGAGATGGTTGGACTCGATGATCCCAAGGGTCTCTTCCAATCTGAATGATTCTATGATTCTATGATTACTAACCAGAGCCCTTTGCACGGGAGCATCACGTAGATGATGGAGGGTTTGCATTGCTGTGGTGTGGTGGTCGCTGGCATGGGCTGGGGGAGCTGGTCCAGCAGGTTCTGGGTGTAGCCTCATGCAAGAAGCAGGGACAGGGTGCAGAGGAGTTGCCTGGCCACCAGTCTGCTCCATGGGTCCTTCACATAAAGTGGAGAGGTTTCCCTGCAATGTCCAGCCCTGCAAACGGCCACCACCATCTCAACAGATAAACTTGGCCTTTGGACACAGCTCAGCCTGAGCCAGAGTAGCACAATCTGATAGGGCATTGGAAGAGGCTGCCCAGGGAGGTGGTGGAGTCACCATCCCTGGCTGGGTTTAAGGGCCGTTTATATGCAGTGCTAAGGGACATGGTGTAGGGGAAGACTTTGTAGAGTAGGGGAGATGGTTGGACTCGATGATCCCAAGGGTCTCTTCCAACCTCAATGATTCCATGATTCCCTCCAGCTCGGCCTCTCCATCTGCTACGACCTGCGCTTCCCGGAGATCTCCCTGGCGCTGCGTCGCGCCGGCGCCGAGGTCCTCACCTTCCCCTCCGCCTTCACCGTCCCCACCGGCTCCGCGCACTGGGAGGTGAGATGGGGGGGCACTCCCTATCATCCCCCCCCTCCTCCCGGGGCTGGGGACACCCCCCAGGGGGGTCTCCCACCAGAGCTGAGCCTTCTCCCATCAGCGAGTAACTGGGAGTGAGTCCTCCCCCAGCAGGGGGGGGCGGTGGGGGGGGGGGGGGGGTCTAGCCTTGCCCTGTGTGTGTCCCCCCCCCAAAAAAACCCCCTCCCTGGCAGGTCCTGCTGCGGGCGCGGGCCATCGAGAGCCAGTGCTACGTGGTGGCGGCGGCGCAGAGCGGGAGGAACCACGAGGGCCGCACGTCGTACGGGCACGCGCTGGTGGTGGACCCCTGGGGCGCGGTGGTGGCCCAGTGCCGCGAGGGCCCGGGGCTCTGCTACGCCGAGATCGACCTGCCCTACCTCCACCGCCTGCGCCGCGACATGCCGGTGCTCGACCACCGCCGCCACGACCTCTACGGCGCCGTGGGGCTGGGGGGAGCACAGTGAGACACCCCCTCTGCTCCCCCACGGGGTCAAAATCCCACCCGGCACCAAATCCGCAACGTTTCACACCGTTTCTACCCAAAAAACGCAGCAGAAAGCACTTGGGGTCCCCAGTGCCACAGCCAGGAGGGGGTGTCCCCCCCCATAGAGCCAAATCTGCACCATTTCTACCCAAAACACAGCAGCAAAAAGCACTCAGGGTCCCCAGGCCCCAGTGCCACAGCCAGAAGGGGGTGTCCATCTTCCCCCGGGGCTGAAAAACCCACATAGAGCCAAATCTGCACCATTTCAGACCATTTTTACCCAAAACACAGCAGCAAAAAGCACTTGGGTCCCCAGTGCCGCAGCCAGGATGGGGTGTCCCCCCCCCATGGCTGAAAAACCCACATAGAACCAAATCCACACCATTTCAGACCATTTCTACTCAAAACACAGCAGCAAAAAGCACTTGGGTCCCCAGTGCCACAGCCAGGAAGGGGTGTCCATCTCCCCCTGGGGCTGAAAAACCCATGTAGAGCCAAATCCAGACCATCTTTACCCAAAATACAGCAGCAAAATGCACTTGAGCCCGTGGTGCTGCAGCCAGGAGGGGGTGTCCCCCCCCGGGGGCTGAAAAACCCCCATAGAGCCAAATCCACACCATTTCAGACCATTTTTACCCAAAAAACACAGCAGAAAGCACTCGGGGTCCCCAGGGGGTGTCCCCCCCACTTTTCTGTGTCCCTGGCACCACTGTGGGG